ATTGCTCAGTGAGGAATGACTGCCATATTATCCTACATGGGTCTGGAACCATCAGTACAGTGTACAGCTCCTCCTTTAGTGAAGCACTTGGAATAGCTTGGGTACGAAAGCTGCTCTGTGAAGCCCAATTCCATTCTATTTTGTACCCCTGACTGTAGTTCTTAAATTATAACAGAAACAATCATCTACAGACCTTTCATGTCCCATTCTTCACAAGTGAAAACATAATGACAGCCAAACTATTTAGAACCATCCTTTAAATACCCCACAAGACATGGATTGTTTTGAGATCTAATGTCATTTTAAGTGTCCCATCTGGTCATTTAAATGCTCTGCATTACTGCAGGGATATTATGATGATGAACAAGTATCTACCTCAGCTAGAGGCACATGGTCATAATGAAAACCACTCCCACCGGAAAGAAAACCCCATGCAGGGAAAGATGAAACGCTCCTTATTTCCAGAATTTTGAGTTCATGAGGGTTTCTTGAATTTTAGGTATTTCAATTTATAGCATTGCACAGAATTAGTATTGCGGATTCGCTTAGCTTTGGGGGTATTTTACTCTGATTTTTACTTTATTTTCTAAGTAAGGCAGGTAGTTTGCGTTTTGTTTTTGAATGTTCAGGGAGCGGGTTACTTTCTGCGTGCCCTGTTTGATTTTTGTACAATGCTACCTGCCTCCCAACGGCAGGAGAACTCCAAACACGAGTCCACGTCTTTGGTCCCCTTCCTTGATTCAAACCTTCTCACTTGTCTCCTTTGCCATCATGCCTGACTCGCCTACTCCTATGTGAACAACACCAGCCGCGCATTTCTGTACTGTCCGCTGACCTGGCTGCCGTGCGCGTGAGAGCGGAGACTGGGGCCCCACGTGCAGTTGTGCGGGGCGGGCCGCTCCTCGCGTGGGTGCTGCTGCAGGACAAACGCCCCGGCTCTTTGCATGGCGGAGGCGGGAGAGGAGATCACCGGCCTCGCCTCTGCTGCTTTTTAAACGACAACAATGGTGCAAACGAAGGGGCAGGGGGCTGGGGAAACCCGGCGTGGAACTCGTTCATGGCTCCGAGTTCTGGGGAGCGGGGCAGGCTCTCCCCTGGACACCCAGCACAGAGGGGAGGGTCCCTGCTCTGCCCCCCCGGGGGAGGACGGGAGGAACACGCCCCAGCCCCTGCACCTGTCCGGGGCGCGGCCGCGCTGAGCGCTCCCTCTTCTCTCCCGGGGCAGCGAGCGCCAAGGGACACCTCCCTCCCTCGTGCCGCTCCGAGCCAACGGGGGAAGCTGCAGCGCGGCTCCCCGCAGACCCCGCACTGGGGATGTTGCCCTGGGCGGGGCCGACGCGCCCCTATCACCGAAACGCCTCTGGCCACCACCTGCGCCCCGAGTCCGGGCCCGATCCCACGGGCGAGGGAGGCGGGGAAGCGAGACTCGGACCCTGGCTAAGCAGGAGAACCGCAGGAGCCCGCGCTGCGCCGCGCGCCCGTCTCGGGGGCTGACTGACTGGTTTGGGGTGTTTTTTAATGAAGCGCAGCAAGTTGGGACCCGCCGGAGCATCCGCCAGCCCGTGACTGGGGCGGTTTGCTCCAGGCCAACTCCAGCTCAGCGGGTGGCAGGCAGCCCTGCTGCCTCAGCATCTCCCCGGCTTAATGAGCTGGCGCGGGCGGGCGGGCGGCGGGGTGCGCCGAGCGGGCTGGCGAGGGAACCCCTCCGTCTGGCTGGTCCCACTGCGCCCCCCAAAGCCGCGCTCAGCCCCCGACCGCCGCTGGCCCAGAAGCCCTCGGAAGACACTCGCTGGGCTGGACTGTCGGCCACTGAAATGGGATTTATTCCAAGCTAGCGAGTCCCACCTGCGCGAGACACAGGGCTGCTAACGCACAGGTGCGCATCACGCGTTCACACCAGGCGGGGGGCTACCCACCGAGCTGCTGTAATGCGAACTGTGCCCGATTGGGCGCTCGCTAATCCCCCTTTTTAAAAACACCCACCCTGCCAGACACAGCTGCCTTGAGCCATGAACTCAAATCCGAACAATGCCTGGGGGGATCCGAGGGTGATACACAAACTTTCTGCCGAACAACGGGGCCAAGAGACCCATGCTGGGCTAAAACCAACCACTCCGAGGCCGAGCAGTGCATGGTATAAAATATGTGGATGCCCCTTCCCATGGGTTCCGTCATAAAAATGGGCGAAGGGACGCAAAACCAGGAGCCCCAAACCCTTCCCGGAGTGACCCTGGTGAGCTAGATGCAGGGAGCCCTGGAGTTCCCCGCTGCGCTGGAGTTCAGCTTTCAGACGATCCGAAGTCTGTGACCGGCTTGTGACCGACTTTTTCTAATCCACCCGCAACGGGTGCAAATTTCGACTCACTTCTCGCGGCCGGGCAGCGCTGCGGTGTCCCCTTTTGACGCCATGACTGGGGCTGGGGCGCGCGGCCCCTAGAACACCGACAAGCAACGTGTCCTTTGGGTTACAGCCGCCCCCCATCCTGCTTAAGCAAAACTCCCTTTGGCAACAAGATTGGGCCCGCAATGTGCAAATGAATGGAGAGACAGTAGGGAATGTTCATACCCATTTGGTTAAACTTCAATGCACCACCCCTCTCCCTTTCCCCGGACTATTCATCTCCAAGTGACCACTATTAATTACAGAGCGAGTTCTCCTGTCTTTAACACTAGATCACCTGATCAGTTCCCTCCACCTCTTCGGGCTCAAGGATTGCTTCTGCTTTGTAACCACAGGCCAGCGCTGTCCTCATTTTGCAGCTTCTCCAGACTGTCAGTATCTCAGCCACAGGTTTCAAGATTATTTTTAGCTAACCTACAGAGGTCAAAGGGCACAGGCACTAGGAATTACCCGCTCTGGGCATTTTAGAAGAGCACTCAGTCCTGTAGCTTTTTGCATTGCTTAAATGCAACATTACTGCCGTTGAGCCTGAGAGATGCAACTAGATATGACTAGAGCCCAGGCCTGCCCCCCTAGGAACCCCAAATTCTCCGATGAAGAGGAGTATGGGGGGGCACAACCAGGATAGAAGTGCTTTAAAAATGGCTTTTCAATGCCAGAAGTTCTGGGGTTCTCCCTCCCATGCACCAAACATACCAGTTTCCTCCAGGCCGGGAAAGGGGCACAGAACAGGTTGCTGTCAACATGGTTGTTTTGAACTAAACATGATAACTGCCCCCAGATCATGTTACTAAGCCACAAGAGCCAGTCAATTCAGTAAAAAGCAAGAGAGGGTCCTGTGGCACCTTTGAGACTAACAGAAGTATTGGGAGCATAAGCTTTTGTGGGTAAGAATCTCACTTCTTCAGGTACAAGGAGACTTAGCTCTGAAGAAAAGAAGCTCCT